TTACGCTGTTATACAATGGAAGCACCGAAATATTGGGTGCACTACTTACCATGGGAGGAATTCTCTTACAATTCTGCCTACCACTCATCCATTGGGGCCTCACCATTCCAGATAGTGTATGGGAGAGCACCTCCGGGTATTCCACTGTATGGAGGTACAACATCATCAATTGAGGTTGTTGATGTGTTGCTGACTCAACGGGATGCAGTGATTAAGCAGCTTCGAGAAACATTACATCGAACAAGGCAGCGAATGAAAAATCAAGCAGATAAAAAGAGAAGGGATGTACAATTTGAGGTGGGCAGCTTCGTCTTGGCAAGGCTTCAACCCTACCGCCAACGCACTGTGCGCAATCACACTTTTTCCAAGCTCCGGCGTCGATTTTATGGCCCTTTTCCCATCACTGAGCGGATTGGCCCTGTAGCGTACCGATTAAAGCTACCTGAGGAGTCGAGAATTCACCCGGTGTTCCACGTATCACTCCTTAAACCATACCGTCAAAACCCCTCTTTCCATTCGTCACCTCTTCCTCGCATGAGTTGGGACAATCACCCAGTCACCAAACCTGTCGCTGTGCTGCGCACTCGAGCCTTACAACACGGCAAGGAGGAAATTTTACAACTTTTGGTTCAATGGGAGGGACTGCCGTTGGAAGACTCAACTTGGATCTCTTACCCCGAATTCCTTCAAGCTTTTCCAAGCTTCGATCTTGAGGGCAAGATCGTGTCTTCAAGGGGGAAGGGAAATGATAGGCACCCTCCTGATGATATCCCTGATTCCACAGATCCGGTTGCTGGGGTTGATAAAGAAGGCAACGAACGGCTGGAGCTGGACTCAAGGAACCAGCGAGAGGAAAGAAAGAGGGAGAAGAGAACACCTCAGTGGCTCAAGGACTTTGTGATGTTGACAGGTGGAGATGTGGGAACTTGAAACGAAGACAAGTGGCTGAGCCTTGAAATGAGATGGAGCAAGTGGTTTGGTCGGTGGAAGTGTGTCTGGGAGTCCTATGGGCCAGTTATGTGATAGTGGCCAGTGGGTCGTAGGTGGATAAGCCCATTACCTGCTGATCAGCAAGGAATGGTTAAATAAAACGGGCTGATGACTAATATGGGCCCATAGCTAGTTTTCCTTTGAATTACAGTATTCTGTTGTTAAATAGGGAGATGGGGACCACAAGGGGGTTATCGAAATAATCTTGTAACAAAATTTTTCCTTCTCCTTGCTTAAACCCTTTTCTGGAGTTGCTGGCGTCCTCGAATCGCCGTTGGTAATAGCAATTTCAATTCTGTTTCTTCTCCAATTAAGTTGTCCGATAGATAACTCTATCACAACAATACACATAAAAGTGTATAGATCCATGTGGGCCAATATGAGAAGAAGAGAGAAAATGAGAAAATATGAGACTCGTATATTTTTATGTGTGTGTAGGAGATAAAATTTATTTCCTATAAAATAAAAAATATAAAATTCATAAATAAATGAGTAAAGTCCATTTTGGGTTCCTAACAAAAAAATACGATCACTACCTTCATCCATTATAAAAAAAAAATTACTCTCGAAGTCGCTAAGAAATTCAAACTGGATCTCTTTAGTTGAAATTGTGGTCCTTCACAATTTTAAAAAAGATTCACATTAATTTCTCAAAAAGAACAAAATGAATCCACTTTAAATTTCATAAGGAATACAAAACTAATTTTTTTATAAGAGATTAAAATAGAAATCGCATTTTTTTGTCAGAGATCCAAAATGAACTTTAATCTAAATAAAAAAAAGTAACTTATTTGTAGAACACTCGATGAGTTTTGTTTGATTGTAGGGTTTAACAAGTCTCTTGTTATTGAAGACTCACTCTTTCTGACCATAGACACAAAACAAAATGTGTGACCCACATGTTTAAAAAAAAAAAAAAAAGACAGCACACAAATCAATGAATCAGTTACAGATTTTTTTTTTTCTTGCAACATAAGACTCACTTAACGATTTTATAATGAATCATTCAGCATTTTTTCTCACGATATTGATTCTTTCTTGAGAAAAGCTAGAATTACCCGCAATCACGCGCTTGAGTTCTTTTTCCTTTAAAAAATTTAAATTTTGGAAACCTGTATTAATTAGGATTTAATTGTGTTAGAACTGCTTACTAAAAAAAAAAAGAAATTGTGTTAGAACTTGGCCCCTCTTTCTTATCGAGCATGACCTAAGAGGCTAAGCTTATGTTACAGGTCAACAGCAGCATTAATGAGGGAGTGTCATGATAGTGGCATGCATGACACGTTGCTGCAATTAAACTTTTCAGATACTTCGGGACCTCTCTAGTTTAGCGTGATATGAAACGATAAATAGTGTACCAATCATCATCTGAGTTCTATGAACTATAAATAAACAAGCATCACCAATCATGTAACACCCACCATTTCATGTGGTGGAACCTTCATTCTCCGCATAACCTATTCTAAGTAGCTGTCAGTGCAGCTCCTATGCCCCACTTTATACATGACGGCTCCTCCAATAAATAACTTATTTGACGGATTGCTTTTTTTTTTTCTCTATGAGCTATCACTCTTCTTTTGTCCTTCCCTTATCATTTGGAAATAGCTTTATTCTGACACTGCCTTTGAAATTGGAGTGCTACACTAAAGGGGCAAGACCTAGTCCTTCACAGGCTTATACAGCTTATAAATTAAAAGATCAAACTTCAACTTTTTTACTGCACTGCATGATATATAAGGCTCCACAGTCCACATATAATAATTTCTCTACATAGTAAAATAAAAGATTTTGGAACATAAAAAATACAGAAAATTAAATAGTGTTTGAAGCAAAAGTGAGTTTTTGTGTCCAAAATTAGAACACGAATTCGTGTTTTTGTCCATGCAACCATGTCTCAAATCCTACTCCTTGGCTCCCTTTAACTTTTCCAATGCTGGGCCCGTGACAGTGTTCGGGCTCCCACCTTTTCCAGTACAACTTGACCCATTACAGACAAACCCGTCCTTAATCACAATTTTGTTTTAAGGGTATGTTTGGTACGACTTTTATTTTGAGTTTGATGGGGAAGTGTGGGTGGATATTGGAAAATATCACGTTTAGTTCAAGTTTTTGAAAAAAAATACTAGGTAAACAGGAAGGCTAGGAAATGACTTTGGTGTTGATTTTTGGGTAAAGTTCACTGTTACAAAATACCACTTGAGATATGGTATTTTTAGATAACTGGAGAAGTGAAAAAACAGGTGCGAAGTTCCTCTCAAACATAGATTTTGCAAATTTAAATAAATTTTTCCAGTAATATTTCGGTCAACCAAATATCTTTTTTTAAATTTTTCCATCAAACTAACTTTCTTACCATTTCTCCATTAATTATATTTCCCTAGTAAAAAAAAATTTCTCTTCTACCAAACGCCCCCTAAATGCAATGTCGTGAAAAGAGAGGGTAATCCAAATACAGAAAATTGTATTTATCTTTTTCTTTATGGATCAGTTTCTTCATTTTTTTATTTCTCTCAAATTCAAAATAATAATAATAATAATGTACTGTTATAAATTGATATTAGCGATCTAATTGGATAAACATTACTACAATTTATTAATAGAAAAAGATTGCGAGATAGACATTATTGAAAATTATAACTATTGCTCTATTTCCTTATCTTCATCAGTGGCTATATTTCTCAATTAAGGAGGAGTTATACGTACTGTACTTATTTATTTATTTATTTACTAAGCTTTTATCCCACTGAATTTTTCTTTCAGAATAATTTCTCGGGATTCATTAAGTTTTTGGCTTGCTCCCCCTAATATTGGGAAATATCCCTCATTAGAATAAGAAGGCATAAGTCGTCCATGAGAGGCCTAAAGAACTTGATTATATATGGAGCCGAAAAACTCATGTAAATACTCAACTTTCTTTAAAACCCTATTTTAAGACATTGTGGAGGTATAATAGGGACATATATGGTACAACCAAAATGTACAGATGGGAAACATCAAGTTCACATCTACGTACAAGTTAAAGAGGGGAGTATGCTTAAAAGCATCTAGGCTAGCGAACTTTAGGTTTATGGTCATTTTTAGAAGCAATGACATATACTAAATCATTCCTTTATATCTTCCCCTTATATTTCTAGAGTTAGAGTTTAACGAAATCTCATAATTTTCCAATATATAACCACTTATGGGGTCACTTTTATAGAAATATGAAGTTATTAGTCTATCATTGACCTCTTCAGCAGTGCCACCTTGAAGTTTTATTTCCTTTCATCAAGGAACAACATCATTTGTTTACTTTATATTCATTAGGCTTTTATGTACATGATGTCCTTCTAGGACAATTACTCGGACAAGAATATTTGTAATGATTTGCAATACTCTACAAATGAATTATTGTTTGAACTTCAAGTTCACAATGATTGTAGGTGTATAACTAGATCGACAATGTTCCAACAAATTTCTTACGCTTTTTGTCCTTTCACCTTTTTCTTCCCATAATGACGAGAGAAAATAATAATTAATTAAATTGATTCGCTAGAGAAATAACTAGCTCTTCTAGAGCCACCATAATACCAAATATGATTGAGAAAAATCCATGATAGTAATTATACCTATAACTACGTTATGATTATGTAATGGTATTGTATTCACTTTTTCAAAAAATTGTTGCTAAGTATTTTTTTTTTAGAAGGCTATGTTTTTGGATACTATGCAATTAAAGATTTTCACACCAAAAAAAAAAAAAAAAAAAAACTATTCAGGCTGATAACGTGGTATGAAATGAAATGAAAGGGGAAGATATAAATAAAAGACTTGTTACAAGACAGAGAAAAAAAGAGAGACAAAGAATAGAGAAGACAAACAAAAGTAGAATAGGATTGTTATTCTCATTCGATCCAATACAAGCATAATGTATATATATAAATAAATAATGAATAGGGAGTTGATGCTTCATTAATGTGATAATTACACCATTAATACTAACAGAAATACAATTTAAAATTCAAGCCATCCATATTTTACATGTAGATATATATATATATATATATATATATATATATATATAATTTAGCACAGCAAACTACCAACATAATTAATTAATGGCTTCAGAAATGAGAGATGAAATGATTGAGAGGAGATTAGAGAATTGAAAATAATAGAGAGACATTAAATGGAAGGTGGGGGAAGTAGCTAGAAGAATCTAGCAGAAGAGGACCGAAGATCCATCTCTTGGGTCCAAGCGTTACGGTCCTGAACGTGCAAGTGCCAGTAGGTTTGAGCCAAGGCGTCCGGGTCCATAGTTCCATCACCTCCACTGCTTTGCTCCCCAATCGAACCTCTCTGAGGCAACATCGTAGCTCCTCTGCAACCCATAACATGCAAATACATCCACAAAATTAATAACATCATTTTTATTTTTTAAAACTTTTTAGGGGTATGTATGTATATGCATGTGGAGTATAAAATGGAAGCTATGGATTGGATAGGCATTTGGCAAATGGGTAATAGATACGAATGAAAGATGGTTGAGGAAAAGATCTCTTGGAACAAATAAACAAACGAAACGAACCTTGGTGGGCCAACAACACCGTCAATGATGACATGAGCTACGTGCACTCCCTGAGGTTGAAATTCCCTCGCCAAGCATTGCGATAGTGCTCTCAAAGCGAATTTCCCACAGCCTGTCTCATCTCCCCCATTTGGATGCACAACCAATTTTCTCACAAATTAATTCAACTTTAATTTTAATTACTTATTAAAAATCAAACCCAACAAAAAAAAAAAAAAAAAAAAAAATTTAATTATTTCTATTATAAGAATAAGGATAATCGTATTTACATAGTTCTGGGTATCCAGCAATGCCGTTTAGAGAAGCGGAACAGCCCGTAAAGAGAATCGTGCCCTTTCCTCTTTCAACCATACCCGGCAGCACCTTCAATGTTTCATCAATTTCATCGAACAATTAGTTATTATTATTATTATTTAATTAATACTAGGTACTAGGTAGAAGGTATCATCAAATAAAATATTATAAAAAAAAATTTAATAAATTTGTCAGTGGAAGTAATTAATAACCTGTTGAGCGCAGAGGAAGGCACCGAGGGATGAAACAGCGAGGGATTTCTGAAAGGAATCGATGGTGAGATCTTGGAAGCAAGTGGGTTTCCATGAGACTGGTTGGTAAGCATTGTAAACGAGGACTTCCACGAACCCCAGTGAAAGCACTCCTTCAAATGCTTCCCTCACGCTTCTAGAATCCGAACAATCGATTCTTATTGCAAACACCTGTGCCTTCTCTTCCCGAGCTATTTCGTCTGCAAATCTTGATAACCTCCCTGTTTCCATTAACATATCATATCATAATTATATTATATTATTATTATTATTATATCATATTATAGGATGGGATGGGATATGATAGGATAGGATGGGGGGATATTTGAATTTTAATACCTAAATCACGAGCGAGGATGGCAACGGTGTAGCCTTCGTGAGCGAACTTGCGAGCGATGGAAAGGCCGAGCTTGGGTCCCACACCGACGATGGCTGCAATGCCTCGTGAGGAAGCAGAGCTTGCCATGTTTCGCATCTTTCTCAAAATTAAGGGGCAAGGAAGAGGAATTTGAGAATTTGGGTTTGGTTAATTAAGACTTGGAAGTAGGAGTAGCAAGTTTAGCAAGTAGGGAGAGTAGCTAGTGGTAGTAAGAGTTGTGATTGGTGGGAATATTGAAGGGTTTTTATTTTATTTTAAGCAATGGAAATAGAGAAGATGGGTATTGGACAGAGGGTAAGGTTTTCTCCGCATGTCTGAATCATTGTCTCCCGTACAACAGGCATTCTTCGCTTCCTCTGCCTCTCAGGGACCTCTCAAAGGAATTTTCCTCTTTTACGTCCCTCTTTCTCTCCCAAGAGTCCCAACTACCTCACCTCTTCTCTCATCTGAAATCATTTTAGAGTCAACTTTCTAATTTGGTATTCTTCTTTCTCTCCCAACCCAACTACCTCACCTCTTTCTCTCTCGTGTGAAATCATTTTAGAGTCAGCTTTCTAATTTGGTATTCTTGAAAACTTTTGGCTATTGCTTGATATTCATTTGATTATAGTAACGGATTAATCTGCTTGATATTCATTGTATAGATATAAAAGCATGTGAGATTCTTGTTTATTTTTTTTATATGAACTGCATAAATTTTATATATTTTTATGTGTACAAAAAAGGGAAAGTTCATCGATCATGGTTTGTTTCAGAATCACCTATACTCTTGTGATTTTTTTCTATCACATATGCTTCTGTGATTTGCAAAAAAATATATTTTATTATCACATATGCTCATGTGATTTTTTATTTTTTACAAAGCACATGGACATATGTGATACAAAAAGTCACATGGACATAGATGATTCTGAAGCAAACTACAAGAGCATGGGTGAACTTTTCTCTATAAAAAATAATATAATATGAAAAATATTAATCCTTTATAATAAATACTAGTTTTAGACTTTTTTTCAATTCGACGAACTATTGGGTGTGGATTGAATTAAGTCTACTTATGTTTAAATTAAGGGCTTTACTTCTCTAATGTAGTATGAGAGAAGTTATCTTATGTTGTGAGATAAATGAAGTGGAGCCCATCAATTTTTAAAAAAAGAAAAAAGAAGAAAAAGAAAAGCACGTCTTTTTATGTAAGTGTAACATGAGAGATGAATCTCATGTGACATAAGAGTATAATTTCCCTTAAATTAATGTTCCGAAAATTTTGGAATAACGGAATTAAATTAATAGTGATGGATGCTTGCTAGTTGCTTATATTTTCAATTGACGGCGTTAAAATCCTGCCACGTTGGACTGGCGAGATTTTCGTTGTATCATTGCAGTTGGAATCCACATTTAACTTTATAAAATATATACAATTTTTTTATAAAATATGTTAAAAAAAATTTCTTAACAAGAAAATAAATATCCGGCAAGTTTAATTTATTTTATTTTTTTAATAAAATGATGACACTGAAGTTTAAATTTATAATATCATGCAAATTAACGAAATTATGCGAAGTTCTTTATCATTAGATCATTCGTAGTGATTTTTTTTAATTTGTTTACATTTGACATATTTAAAATGTCTAAACTTAAATCCATTATGTGATTAAACCAAATCTAAGTTAGGTGTTTGGTTTATGTTAGAATATTTAGACCATCTGGTTTCGTCCAAATAACTCTGTTTTTAATAATAGCTCATAGCAATAAAAAAAAAGGACTATGTTGAAGAAGATGATAAATAGCAAAAAAGACTTTTCCATGTAATGTGCTGAAGATGACATGCAGTAACTATACCAGAGACTGATCATTATGGGTATTCTCGAAGTTGACATTGATTATGGTGAGTCACGTGATGATTCTTAAAAATTGAGATCCATCTGAATGTTTATGTGCTCCTTAATTTCTCTTTTTGTTGTTAAAAATTATTATTTTATTCTAAGTTTGTTCCTCGAAGCAATTACTTGACAAAATGGACTCGAGCAATCGTTGAAGGATGGATTAGAGTAGTACTGAAAATATTTTAGCTTGATTTTATTTTCATGAGCTTAATGAGTCAATTTGCTCTTTGCAGGAAACCTAAGGCCCAACTAAAGAAGATCCACTTCAATAATAGAGAAAGCTTGGAAAAAAAGAAAGCAGAAAGAGACAAAATGGGGACAATAAAGCGTAAAGTAGCATCTTGGTAGCGTCCTTTGAGCAGAAAATGACTAACCAGAAGTCGCCACGTCAGCAATGACAAGGAGAATGTGTGCAACGACTTAACAATGCGAATTCATGCAAACTTGCTGCAAAAGGAAGGGGGCCGCTGCTCTAAATAGGTCTGACCTATCAGGGAGCAATGCTCTGATTGGAGAGAATTTGAGGAAGGCAGAGCCATTGATTGATTGAATTGACGAGATTAATACAGAAGGAGTAAGCACCTTTTATATTATCTTCGTGTGAGCATTATCTTCGTCTCCTACCTTCAAACACTCCATTATTGTTCTTAGCTTATTTTCTCTGTAATTTTCTGTTTTAAGTTTTATCATGCTCCTAAGCATGAGCTAAGTTACTCTAGTAGGTTAGGGTGAGATAAAAGTAGTCCTTTTTGTCCGAGGTTGATCTTATAATGTAAATTGCTTTTTTAATGAATTATGAGCTGTTTCTTGGTTTATTTGATTTGTTGTTGTGAAACCCTTTGTCTGCTAACGACATTGAAGGTTAATCCCCGATTGTAACCTCTTTCAAAGTAGTGTGGAGCAACAACAGAAATCTTAGGTTGTTTACTCTGAGATAGAGGAGCACCCAGAAAGAGGAACGCAGTTATCTGTAAATTATTTTGATTAGCAATCCCTTCAGCCTACCTTTGGGAAAAGATGGCAAAATAATCTCCCTTAAGTTTCAATGCAAAGAACTCTTTAAGTGGTTTGTGTTAAAGGCCCTTTTGCTCCAGACTGCTTTAGTGTTATTCTGGAGACAAAGCAATATGCCTCTATACCTAGGACGTTCGCTGGGAGCAGAATTTATTCGTAAGAGTGAATGAAATATTAGGGTTAACCAAAAGGGTGAAAATACTGAACCATAACCTATGTCTTTCTTTTTATCATTGAATCAACATTAATTCTCTCTCCCAAGACTTTACAAAAATTACAAAGAATTCAAAGTTCATTTGCCATCTTCCTCTTGCTTTATGTTTTCGTTACTATTCTTGTTGTTACTGATTTTCAAGTGTTACATTAATTTTCTCTACTTATTATTCGTAGATCTTTACTTCTCGTATAATTTGATTCTTTCAAGGCAAGTTCGATTAAGTTAAAAAGGAAACCCAGTGCTTAGTTCATTTGGATTTATTGACCCTGTTCAATTAGTTGGTGGCAAGTGCTTGTTGGTGAACTTTAACTTAGAACAATTTGGCTTCTTGATATGAGTGCTCTGTGTTTCCTGTTTATTTTCTTTTCTTTTCTTAATTACATTTCTTGTAAACGCGACTTTTATAATTGTTCCCTGAGGACGATAATCTGGGGCTCATTACCGTCCATCTATTACTTGATGCATACGTTTGCGCAGTTTGGGTAAAATTACTCTTTATATGATTAATTGCTCCTCAGATAAAATAATTGCTCCTCATATACTTTGCTCCCATATTTTCCTGAGCACATAGGCCCAACATCACGCAAGAAAAAGTCATTGCTAAAAAATTGTGTCACATTATTCTTGTTAACTTATCATGAAAACAGTTTTGTGTAATATAGCTAGACTAATTATGTAAATAATATATGATGAATTTTAACAATGTCTCATTTTTTTGTTTCCTCTATTTACTCATACATCACAACATCACACTAAGGAAAATGTTTTTACATTTTAGCACCGGCTCTAAGAGCAAATACTGCATTTAATTAATTAAGTCTTTTGTGGTTGATTATAAGGATTTGAAATTAAATCTCACCTTCATCCCATAGAGCTACAAAGTGATTATTAATTTCCCCTCCCAAGATGTGATGTGTGTGATTAAATCAATGATTAGTATATAACGCTATTTGGAAAGTCGAATAATGTTTAAAGTCACTTTTCGGATGAAAAGTGCAGATAGCGGTTCTACTTCGCGGTATAAATGCGTACCAATAAAGTATCCCAAAATAATATAATAAAAATAGAAAAAAAAGAAAAAAAAAGCACAAGATTGATCTCCATGCTATCTTTGATCAAGCATTCAGAATCAATTATTATAACGGAGATACTAAATAAATAGGGTTGACTGTTATGTTCATTAGTTTATTCAGTGTTTGCAGTTATATATAATTACCTTTTTGCTCCAATGCATGGTATGAAAATATGCTGTGTGAATTATTAAGGGCTTAAAGGGGTCGATTGGGGATAAATTTTGTAAAAAGAAGATTAACCAAAAAACAAAATAAGTTATAGGCGCTAAACTTAAAAGGCAATAAAATACTATAAAAACATATATGTTGACAAAAATAAAATAAAATTAACTGACACTATACGACAAGAAAACTAGTATTTGAAGGCTGTTTAACTGAGGCAATTTCACTTAAACCGCCTCCAATTGATACATAGAACTGGTATCTGCACTTTTCGTCAGAAAAGCGGCTTTCAACCTTATTAATCATTTACTATAATTATTTAAGCTCTCTCGTAATTATTCAAGGTCAATTATGGATTTATTTCCTAATATCATAATTATATTAATTAATTTCCTAATTTAACGGTGTGGGTTCTTAGAGGATAACTTATCATATCCTACTTTTATCTCTTGTTTGGTGGGTCAATAGAATATAATTAGCTTATCTTATTGTCTCATTTTATCCTATCCAAGACATGATTTCTTGTCCTATGGGGGGAGTTGGGTTAAGATTCAACATGATAGGATACCAATATTGGATACCCAATATATCCCCACGCTACCCAATATATTTATATTTATTGCATTATATTTTGTTTTTTCTTTCTCCTTTCTCCTTCTATATAATCTTATCAGATTGCTAATTAAGTGCTCATCAAACACAGGACATGATATAGGCTTATCAGCTCCATATCATATCCTACCCTTATCAGCCTCATATCATATCCGACCTTTATCCTATCCTGTCCACCAAATGAGCCCTAAAAGAAAAAAAAGCACAAGATTGATCTCCATGCTATCTTTGATCAAGCATTCAGAATCAATTATTATAACGGAGATACTAAATAAATAGGGTTGACTGTTATGTTCATTAGTTTATTCAGTGTTTGCAGTTATATATAATTACCTTTTTGCTCCAATGCATGGTATGAAAATATGCAGTGTGAATTATTAAGGGCTTAAAGGGGTCGATTGGGGATAAATTTTGTAAAAAGAAGATTGCAACCAAAAAACAAAATAAGTTATAGGCGCTAAACTTAAAAGGCAATAAAATACTATAAAAACATATATGTTGACAAAAATAAAATAAAATTAACTGACACTATACGACAAGAAA